TGCAGTGAGGCTTATATAGGATTAGCAAGCAGCCTATCTCTAGATTCACTGTTGTGTGTACACCAGGCCAAACATCTCTACTTACAGAACACCCCTTTTCCAGTCCTGCTATCCCCATGGTGCAAATATACTCGTCTCTGCCCACAGTTCTCAAGCTGTAACCATTTGGTGTTTCAGTTCTGGCTCCCTGATAACACAGTTGCACCCCAGTCATTTCACCCTCTCTCTCTGGGCACAGGCAGAGCTCTTCCTTTCCCTGGCTAATGCCCACCCATTGCAGCCTTGCACCCCAACAGGTTGAACCACTCCCTCCCTCCTCATTAACGGTATCTTTCAGTCTCGCTCTTGTCCTCTAGCACAGTTGCTCTTCCAGCCCAGCCTCTCTTTCTGTGCTCTGATGGAGTACATTTCATTACTGCCTTTCACAAGACCGCATGCTGAGATCGTAGTGCTTCTCCCCTCAGAGAATGATTGAGGAGGTCCTGTAATGCTGCTGCTCTCTTGCTCACCTGTAAGATGGGCAGGATTTTGTCACTGCATCTTTTCTGCTTCTTTTTAGCCTTCTTTTGTCCTGGAAAGTGTTTTCAAACAGCTACTCCCTGAGCGGCACAAGGATTAGTGTAGTTCTTTCTCTCCTTTCTGCTTCTACCTCAAACTTCTTTTGTCCTATTCCTCTATCTCTCTGCCGTGGGATTTTGCTTTACCCCCCAAGCAGTACATTTCTAGTGTTTCTTTTACTCTGTTCTCTGTCTCATCCTGCGCACCTTGGATTGTTGCTGACATCAGCACAGAGGCCTCCAATTTTGGCAACAGCAGTTGCTAGCAGGACTCCACTCCTCTTGCAGAGCCACTGTCAGGAGCTGCTTAAACCGCCATTGCTTCAAGCTGTCCTGAAAATATGGGAGGAGGTCACCTGCTGAGTATGAGGCTCTAGGTGCCAGTGATCTTTTTGCTTTGCATCTCAACCTTCTGATGATCTTTCTTCACCTGATTTCTCCTGCAGGCCCAAAGATGCCTTCAGAGCCATAAAGAAGAGGATTGTAGGGAATAAGAACTTTCATGAAGTTATGCTGGCTTTGACGGTGAGTGGTCATGGCACTTTCTCAGCTCCAATATATCCTACTGCAAAGCTGAGTCCTTGGGTGTAAAGACAGGTGTCTATAGACAGCAAGGCTACCACGGTCAGAGAAGGCTTTAGCTAATGCTTCTTTGCCTTTGCAGGTCCTGGAGACATGTGTTAAAAACTGTGGCCATCGCTTCCATGTCCTTGTGGCCAGCCAGGACTTTGTAGAAGGTGTCCTGGTGAGAACAATCCTGCCAAAGAACAATCCTCCTGCCATTGTGCATGACAAAGTGCTGACCCTCATCCAGGTGAGCCAAGAAAAGTGGGCCTGTGCACCAGCTCAGGGAGCACTGTCTTTAAGTGTTTTCTAGAAGAGTACTTTAAATGGTGATGGGCTGCACTGTCTCCGTCTCCTCAGTCCTGGGCGGATGCCTTCCGGAGCTCCCCAGACTTGACAGGTGTCGTCACTGTCTATGAAGACCTGAGGCGGAAAGGTCTGGAGTTCCCCATGACTGACCTGGACATGCTGTCACCCATCCACACACCACAAAGGGTATGGAGGCATCGCTGAGGAGAAAGGAGTTGGGCTGCTGCCATTCTGGAGCTATGAGGGGACTCCAGCAACTCCAGCTAGCAGTTAGAGGGCTTTGGGGGAGTGAGGGGCTCTAGGACAGCCTCTTTGCACCTCTTGGTCAAAGGGACTGCAGGTGTGGGGCAGGAATTGGGGGGGAGGTAAGGCAGAGAAGCTAGAAGACCTGCTGAAAGCAGATGAGGATTTGGCATCAACATTTCTCTCCCAATTGCACTGCCTTATCAGTTGTGAGTGTCTAATACCTCCCTCTCTCTGTCATGTTGGCTGTTTCCTCCTCTATCTCTAGACTGTGTATAGTTCTGACTCCCAGTCTGGACAGAATTCACCTGCAGCCAACTCCCCTCAGCGGATAGAGTCCATCCTCCACCCTGCCACCCTGCCCATGGGGACAGGCGCTTCCAGCGATGTGCCCATCATACCCACACCAGAGCAGGTGAGTTGAACATGGGCCCTGTGGTGCTTCTGACTGTCCCTACATTTGGGGCCTGTTTCACAAGTGCTGTCCTGGAACTGCTGTCCAGGTCCTCCCACAGCCTCATGGCTTGAGGAACTGCTCCTCCAAAAGAACTATCACTTTGAGGACTCCCCAGAGCTCCATTGCAGTCATAATGATGAGCTGGGATACCATGAGCATGGAGTGGATACATTTTCTTAAGGCAGGGCTTCTTGCAGTGAAAGAGAGGAAGGATCGCCTGACTATAGGGAAGTGGGGAACTTAGAAACACAGGTTTTGGGGGAGGTCGTCTTAGTGCAGGGCAGCAAAAGCTTGCTCAGTAAATACTTCCTTATCATATTTGTTTATCTTGCCTTACTGCTGATTTTATGTGAATCAACCCCATCTGGCTATGGGAATTCCAAAGGCCAGGGCTTTCTCACTCATTTCCCCATCCTTTTTTTCTTCTTCATCATCCTGACTCCATATGGTACAGGTTCAGCACCAATGCTCAAGCCTTTGGTAGGTTGCATCCCCTTGCAGAAAGGAGACTGGATAAGTGCTCTCAAGAGGCTCATTAGTAGCCTCTGAAACCAGAGGGAAAATGTTTCAACTGCACGCTTAGCCCAGACTCACCTTTTAAATGTTAATTCATTTTTTTCCCTCTTACGCTGCTTTGGAAACGAGATGATTTGTGTGGCTGCCACACAGGAGCTGCTGGCTCGGGAGAGAGGCTTGAATCATAACCACAGCCTATGCTGTCTGTTAAAAATCAAGGTTAGGCCTAATGGCCAAAGGTTCCAGGGCGCCTGGCATCTGCTACCAGCAAAGGAATTTACCTTCCTTCTACTGGACGCTCCTGAAAGCCAAATGGAGCAGTGATGAATGAGTTTTCCAATGGCCTTTCCCTTTGGCTCTGTGTATTCACACACATTGCGCATTGCCATTCAGGGCTTTCTCAGCTATCTCCTCAGTCTTCCCAAGCTGAGGAGCAGTGAGGAGCAGTGACCTCCCCTCCCTTTTGTAGATCGGGAAACTGCGCAGTGAGCTGGAAGTTGTGAATGGGAACGTGAAAGTGATGTCGGAGATGTTGACAGAGCTGGTGCCGGCCCAGGCCGAGACTTCCGACCTGGAACTGTTGCAAGTAAGGAACACGAGGCAGCTACTCGTGGGGGCAGAGGGCTGGCACATGGAGCTTCATTTAGCAATGACTCAATGGACTGAGGCATTATGTAAGCCAGGCATGGGGAACAATTGCACTGGACAGTTTAGTGTGGGGTGTATCAGGGAGTGACAGCATAAGGGAGACAAAGAGAAGATGGAGTTTCAGTGGGCCAAGGGAAGTTGTACTATTGAGGCTGGAATCATTTCACATGGAGGGTGTTACATAGTTCTTAAGGGCCTTTCTTCCTACATGATGTTCCACCAGAAGCCCATGTTCACTCCAAGGACAGAGCAAACCAGGAGCTGTAAATCTCAGTCTCTGTTTATCTCCATTAGAAGATCTCTCATACCAATATCTGTTCCCCCAGTAGCCTCTGACTGTCCCATTCAGGCTTCCGAATCTGTGAGTGCTCAGCCTTGGCCTGACCTTTGTGGTAACTTCCTCTTGCTGTGAGCAGGAGCTAAATCGGACGTGCAGAGCCATGCAACAGCGTGTGCTGGAGCTGATTCCCCGTATCCTCCATGAGCAGCTCACCGAGGAGCTACTCCTCATCAATGACAACCTCAACAATGTGTTTCTGCGCCATGAAAGGTACCTGTCTCCTCCTTTCTCTGCTCTGCTCTTCCATGGGAGTTTGCTTCTCTTTGGGGGCCTCCTATCCCACCCTTTTGTTTTGCCCATGAATGTAATGCTCAATGTATATTGGTCTGTATCATCCATCTTTGAGAACAGACCCACTCTTCCGAATCTGTGAGTGCTCAGCCTTGGCCTGACCTTTGTGGTAACTTCCTCTTGCTGTGAGCAGGAGCTAAATCGGACGTGCAGAGCCATGCAACAGCGTGTGCTGGAGCTGATTCCCCGTATCCTCCATGAGCAGCTCACCGAGGAGCTACTCCTCATCAATGACAACCTCAACAATGTGTTTCTGCGCCATGAAAGGTACCTGTCTCCTCCTTTCTCTGCTCTGCTCTTCCATGGGAGTTTGCTTCTCTTTGGGGGCCTCCTATCCCACCCTTTTGTTTTGCCCATGAATGTAATGCTCAATGTATATTGGTCTGTATCATCCATCTTTGAGAACAGACCCACTCCTCAGCTCTCTCTTTTTTTTTTTTTCTTGTCCCTTCAAAGCCACGGTGTAAGTTGTTGATGACAATATAGAGATGTCACTGTGGCCCAACCCAGAAGGCAGAGAGGGGGACTGCTTGGAAAGAGCTGTTTTTCTAGCTCTGAGACAGACAAGAACAGAAAGGACTTGTCTGGTGGGGGGTGGTGCACGGGCATCTGCCAAATGCATCTCTTATGTTGGGGTGAAGTCAGGCGAATTTAGTCTCTTGTGTCTGTCTGAAGGAAAGCTGGGTTTGAACTGCTTTGGTTAGGAGTAGCTCTGGGGGATCACAAGTAGCTTCCTCATGCCACACCTGTGGAAACATCAACTCTGGGCCCTGCTGTGGTGTCTCCTGTCTTGGGGGGAAATCAGGCCCTGAACCATGGTCCCCATTTCCTGATATGTTGGAAGGAGCAGGTTATGCCAAGCCTTAGTAAGGAACCTCTCAGGGTTGAGGGTGAATAAGCACTTGGAAAGCTCACATTACTGAAATGCCTTCTGTCGTCTTTCTTGCAGGTTTGAGCGTCTTCGGACCGGACAGCCTGTTAAGGTAATTCAGAGCTGCTACACCTCTGTGCATGTTGGTTTGCATCCTGCAGGCCCTGCTATGTCCTGCTGAGTTGGAAAGAGATTTGCTCTGCCCCACTTGCAAGCTGCAGCCTCCCTGTGTCAGCACTGCCCTGTCCTCTGAGCCAGTACCTGACCTACCGGCATATAGCAGAGCTGGGAGGCTGACTACCAAGGCCTGTTCTGCCCTGGGACACTATTCTCTGATCACTGTTCCCCAACTTGCAAGGAGAGGCTCCCCAGCCAATATCTTTTGATGGGTATAGAAGGGCTTCCCTTCCCAGTGTGAACAAGCTGGGATTGAGGAACGCAAGCTGTCTAGGCTTCACAAATCTTCACTGTTTTCCTTTTTCCCTCCAAAGGTGGCAAATGAGGCGGAGAACAGCTTGATTGATCTGGGATCCAGTGCTCCTTCTGCAGCAAGACAACCTGAAGCCACCAACAATCTCTCCTCTCAGCTGGCTGGAATGAGTATGTTGGCATACATTGTTCCCCTCATGCCTTTTTCTGTCCTAGGAGTCCTTTAATGCCTTTGAATGCCCTCCCAAAATTATTTAGCCACCTTCATAGATGTAATGTCAATTAGTAAATTCATGAAGAAACCTATTTATGTGCCAAGGGACACAAGCATATGCCTTAACATCCACGGTTCAGGTTATGTGGGACATGGACATGACTTAAGAAGAACATCAGCATCAGGCTGTGGTTAGGGGATTGGGCCTTCCAGCAAGGCAGGGGTGATAGTCACTCTCCCTCTGATCCCTAGCAGCATTGGTTGCCTCTCTCTTGCTGTGTGATGTGAGGTTAATCACTGAGGTCTGGAAGAAGGAAAACTGCTGAGCTGTGCTGCAAAGGCAGCCATGAGTATCTTGTTCTCAGGACCCAGGACTTGACAGGGTGTCTACTAAGAAAGCACTCTGTCCTGAGGGGCCTCCAGGATGTAGCAGCAGCCTACATGTCAGTGCCTGAGGCTTTTGTTGGCAGCAAGCACGTTCAATACAACTTGGGTGCAACTACAGAAAAATGTCAAGACGATTTTTACAGATAACCCAGTGGATGTACTTATCAGGTCACAGTCTTTCAGATGACACCTAAGTCACAGAAATTCATTCATCTGTCTCAGAGGTGCTTGCAAAAGTACAGGTTAGCCTCTCCCACAGGTTATGGAATAATTCCCTCTTTGTTCTCCTAAATGGTCAGGAACATCTGGCCTTCAGAATCAGTGCAGTAAATTGATGCTGCTGCCGCCAGAGACTGAGCTAAAAATATCTACTGAGCAGGCAAAGAAACTGATTCTGTCACTTCACTCACAACACTGAACAAACACATATATTGTGCTACTGCCCAGGAGCAGGATAAATGAGTGGGCACAGAGCAGTTTAGGCTGTTCTGACAGTAGCTTTCTCCCTAGCCCCTCCAAGCCCATAGCCTTCCATTTATTTTTGTGCTGCCTGCTCACCCTGCTCTTTCTCCTGCAGACTTAGGCTCGAGTAGTGTGAGTGAAGGGCTGCACTCCCTTGACACCTCGGGCAAGCTGGAAGAAGAGTTTGACATGTTTGCCCTGACCCGTGGCAGCTCGCTGGCTGAGCAGCGCAGAGAGTAAGTGTGGCATCCCCTGCTGTCCTGCCTTCTCACAAAGGGTGAGAGAGAGGAGGACACTTCACTTCAGAAGGGAGAGCTGGGGCTGCGATCCCAACCAGCAGCAGTTCCTGGGAGGCAATAGGATGCGATAGAGGCTCACTCTTTCAGTGCAGTGTTTGATCTCCACAGTGGAGGACTTATCTGTTCCCAGTCATTCTTCCTGCTGCCATCATCTCCCCTTTGCAATGTCTTCCTGGGTGTGAGGAGAAGGAAGCGTACTCTGCACATTTCTCTCTGCTGTGTCAGGGAGCTGTAGTGCTGGGTGTGCTGGGGAGGCTTAACATCTGGAGATGAAGGTGTGGAATGGGACTGAGTAAGTTTTTCTTGTCTGTCTCTGAACTCTTGAGTTTCTCTATGCCCTCGATGGGATGACACTGGATTTGGGAACTCCTGAATGTCCATACAGCCTAAAGTACAGAGTATTGAGCTGGAATGCAGGAAGTATATAATCTGTTTTAACTGGCAAGGCAGGGCACAGCTTTGTGCCTCATCTTCCCTATTGGTAGGTGGGACTGAGATTTCTTCCTCTGTAGTGTGTTTGAGACCTGTGCTGTAAAGCACAGTCTAAGAGCTGTATCTCCATAGTGCCATCTAAGCTGAAGAGGTCTCTTCTGTGCTGCAAAGAGCAGATTCCTGAATCTTTACTCTGGAAGGAGGTGACAAGAGCCATGGTAACTGGAAACTTTTGGCTTGAGAGATTAAATCTGATCTTACTCTGGATCTGTTCTGTCTGTCAAAATCACCTACTGTTCTCCATAGGTTACTGAGCAGCTCTCTGTGGGCCTGTAGGCACCTAGCTGCCTCCAGCCCTCAGAGACGTTTGCTCCTCAACTCTGTCCACAGGATTGCCTTGTCCCACGGTTGGACAGTGGCAAGTTAAGATCTCTTAAGGATGTCTTCTTTCATTCCTCTGCCTCAGACTGCTTCTAGTAAAAGTGGAAGGGAAATTAATGGCCAGCGTACAGCCTGTTTTATTTCTAGCAGTCTTGTCCAGGCACTGAGCTTCCCAAGCCAACTGCCCTGCCCTACCTCCGTGAGCCTGGTTGGCTTTTCTAGGAGGGACTTCTGGTCCTGTCCCACTGGCTCTGTCCTCTGTGCTGTCACCAGGCTGCACTTCTCTTTAGGCTGTTACACTGCTGGGCTAGGAGAATGTTAGGGGTGTCGGGAAGCAGTGCTTAAACACATGCAGCTGTTCTGGGCTTAGCTAGTGCCAGCCAATTTACTGGATGTGGCTGCCACTCCTCCCAGCTCTGCAACGCCTCCGTCACGGCTC